CCATTTGAGCAGTAACAATGTCTCCAACAGTGAATGGTTCGCCATAATCTGTGAATATGTTGTTATTCGCTTTCTTACCCAGCGACGTAAAGCAATACGTTCCTGGATATTCACCCAGCTGCAAAAGCAAGAAATAGTAAAAGGAGACAAATGCGTTGCCATTGAACTCACCACAAGCGGGGCTGATCGAAGGGAGAAACCCACACGAATGTCATTGGGATCCAACTCGTCAAAAGGCAAATGCCTTGTCGGAAGCAAATCCAAAATCTAAAAACAAATGAATATTAACAGAAACTGATCACAATAACAAGGTTTACTTACCTTAACCTGGAATGCTATGGACTTAACAGCGTTCTCATCAGAACCGCCTTCATCGACGGTACCGTCCGATCTGCAATAGCTTGAACAATCAAACATAACAGCTACAGCAACCCACGATTGAAAAGGTGAATAGAAAGATGTAAAAAGCTACATAAATCTGTTCAGCACGGCTAGCTACAGAGAGCGAACAAAATCAAAATCTCGCTCGGATAGTTAATATCGATATCAATTGAATGGAACTTACTGTCGGCATGACCGGAAGATTCCATGAGTGCTCTTAACACCTCCCCAAACGAGCGCCAAACCATCTTGATTGTCGGGATCGATTATCCAGTCATTATCCGGAGCTCCTTTCAAATGAAGATCGCCGTTGTCTGAAGGACATAATTATGACTTGCTAAGCGCATCAAACTGGTTTATATAGCTTACAAAAATCTATTTCAAACTCCTCTGTAGAGACAGGAACCTTTTCCTCAACAATGACCACTTCATCTTTACGTTTTGGCTTGATTCCAGCCGCGACCTATATGAGGATATTAATGGGACCACTATCTATACAAATAGACGAACCTCAAAGAGATCATCATCATCGGGCACAGGCTCTCCATGAAAGCTATCCATCGGTTGTATAACCTCTTCTTCCTCGTATTCTTCATCATATGGCATCTGTGAATACTGTGAATCTGAAAGTACTTTCAATGCTTGCATATGCAGCAATTTCAAACGAGAACTGTGGCACCTTGCTTCTTTCCTAAACCTTGCAACACTGCTGATGCACGCTGAAGGAGATGACGGGGATCTTCGAGTAACGCAGGATCGCTGCAATTACACAAATCAAGAAGACAGCTGCACTATATTTTCGTCCTTTATGGGACTACTGGAGATTCAAATAGAGGAATATTCTGAGTTTTGCAAACGATTTTCGAGATTTAGCTTCAGGACACACGTCAATAATTACCACCCTATCAGAAAATTACCGCGCAACTCAAAACTTTTACTGGGATTCCTGCGCATGAAACGGAGATATGCAAATTTTA